CACACACACACACTGCCAACAGCCAATCGCACACCCCAGGCCAACCACTCACTGGACCCTTGTAGCCATCCCGGCCAACGGGCCATCCATAGCAATCAGGAGCCACATTCCAGGAGTCCAAGTAGCACCAGGGAGGATGGAGAGCCAGCCCCAACCCCGGCAACCCTCCAAACCCCGAGCCCACTAAGCCTAAAGTTTGTTGTTCCAACTCTTTATAGGAAATTTGATTGTCCACAATAAGCTGTACATTAGTGATTTATTTTGAATCTGTAAATAAATGATCTTGTTTATTAGTAGCAGTGGTGCACACCAGTCCACTAAAGCGCAAATCCACTAATTGCGGACCTAAATATTTTGTTTGCACTTTAGCGGTCTTACTAATTATTATAATTCATAGGCGGATTTGCACTATCTAAAATTAAAATGTTGTAATGCTAATAACTAATTATCTACCAGTCATCATTATCTTGAACAGCAGAAGGTATGACTGTCAATGAATCACAACACACGTGATCTATCCAACAACACCCCTCCCAGACAAACACACTTATTGGAAACGTTTACATCTTTGCTGACAGTTGCTCTCGGTCACGAATCTCATTTCCCACAATGCTTTGTGTCTGCTTACGTAGCAGGAAGGCAATGTTTAGTACTCCCTGTCCCAGCAAAAACAGTAAACATTTGTAATCCATACTAAAATTTTGTGTGTATTGATTTATTTTACTTTACAATCAGAGCTCCTTTAAAAAAAAAAAAGTTTAAACGCTGGAGCTCAATACTTGATGTAATTAGTCGAAGCAATCCGCCAACGGGGTTAGACAGACATCTAGTGGTCAACTGGAGCAACTACATGGAAAACCTTCGTTTCCCATCACAAATCAAATCCGTCATGTATACCCAGAATGCATTGCTCCAGTTTTCCAATAAACAGTTTTAAAATTACTTTACTGATGCTTCTTTAATGAAAAATCTACAACAAACAAAAGAAAAAGACAAAGAAGCAGCCGAACTAGCAATCTTCAACAATTTTTAAATTTTTACACCAGGAGCCAAAGTTCTGTTTCAGGAAATCACATCCCCAGCAATTGGCGATTTTAGGATTAAGCTGTACAAGGGTTTATACACTGCTAGTTGGTAGTGTTGTACATATATTATACATGAATTTTTGCCAGCTAGTAAGTGTCAAATTGAACTTGTGCTTTAAAATTAGCTTCCGCTAGTTTTTCTACGGCATAAGTGTTTTTGAAGTTGCGGACCCAAATATTTTCATAAGCGCTTTAGAAATTACGGAGCTAATTTTTGGGTTTGTGCTGCCCACCACTGATTATTAGATCAAACCAAAGTCACTGAGTCAAGTTCAGTTATTGTGCGGTCTCACTGTTGCATAGGGGTGATTTATTCCTTAAATAGAAGATCCCGTTATAACATGGGCATAACCGCCATAGGCACGGGGTGGGACCTGTCCCCCCACTTCCAATATCTGTGCATTCTGTCCCCCCCACTTTTTTCAGCCGAAGCAGGGAAAAAAGACCTTTAAAAAAATGTGTCCCCCCACTTTTAAGATGGTGATTACGCCCTTACGTTATAATTTCCTTATAACTTTGATTTAAGGAAGTGTAGTTGAATCCTCACAATGTGAGGGGAGTCATGTTTGTAAATGAGAAATGGTTCTCAAACAGTTTACCTGGATAAATAAAGATTAAATAAAAAAAATAAACAACAGAGTGATTCTTTACACAAACAGTTCATGATTTATAAAGGTAAATCAAGAAAATTAACAAGGCTGCCCAAACTTTCGCACCACACTGTATTTCTCATTTCACAAGTTGAATAAAATAATTCTAAACAATGATGAAGACGTGAGTTTACCTTCCTGGTGAGTCTCCGTTCTTGTCAAACCAGATGTCCTCCCCAGACACACCTGTGAAGGATGTCTTGAGAAGAAAGTCCAACAGGTGGCTTCCATCCACAGGCTTCATGTCATCACAGAGCCCCACATGGTTGAGACAGAGGTCAGAGTGCATGTTGTGCAGCCCGTGGGCCATGGCATAAATGGCATTGATGACAAAGCCCATCTTGCTGTCCTGGACATAGTTGTCCTCCAGACTTTCATAACCTGTCCACAAATGAGACAACTGTAAGAGTTCTTCCTGAAAACAATGTAAATGGATTAAAAGTCATTCAGGAGCATATCATTGCTGCAAGCAGTAGCATGTTTTATGTTGTCTCCTAAAGGGATAGTCTGGTCATATTTTATTTGATTTTCTGTCTGATGGTTATAAATAGTTCATAACTTATCAGCCGTGATGTCAGTCAGAGCTCAGTGTGTGGAAAAAAAGGAAAAAGTCTTTGTCCAGGCCAGGCTTAAGGCTAGCCAAACCAAAACCCATTGTTTTTAGTGTTTTTAGGCAAAAATAACATTTGCCCAATTTCTTAAACTGCTTTTCCATGGAGCTGGCGTCCATGTCCAACAGTCTCTGTGTTCGAGACAGGAGGCATGTAAACTGGTCTCCAGTCCATCACAGGACCCCGTAGACATATCTCCTGTCCATCACTGTGAAACAGAGACAACTAAAGACCCCCACATACTTGGGTGTACTTCGCTCCACACGGACTCATAGTGGCTGCCCGTCGGACTGGTCCATGCAGAGATCAGTTTTTTACGTCAGCATCCACGGTGTTGCACAATAATCTGCCCGGCGAGTTCACGAACTGTTTTGGATGTGAGACCAAGCAGAAAAAGTTGAGAATCTGTGTCATTTGTGGACGAAATGGAGTCAAAATTTGAAGAGTTTCTCATGGAGGAGATTCGAAATCATAGAAACTTTATGATACGTCAATGAAGGAATCTTCTTTCAGCGAGCAACAGATTCGTGTGAGGAAGTATCTCAGATCCTGGGTAAGGTAAGTTCTTTTCTTTTGTTGATTTAAAGCCAAAATGCAAGCTATCTCTTTCTCCTCGTCCGTGAGGCCATGACTGACATTGTGAGAAATGACTTGAGGACGACATGCGTGGAGTCCACGAGGCTCACAGACCGCACACAGTACGCCTGAGTATGTGGGAGCCTTCACCAGTAACCTCTCACTCAGTGACCGTTTAGAGTTCCTAACATGATGTTTTTGGTCTGTGGGAGGAAACCAGATACTTGGAGATACTTACAAAAGAGGACCCTCAGCCTAACAATAGATCATCAGTGCCCTGAAAATCCCTGTGGTCTTTTGCATGTGAACAAACAATTTTGTTTGTTATTGTTAAACATGTTTGTCCACCATGTGGAGGTAGTGCTTATAAGGTTGAGTTTACCTGAAACTCCTCAGATTGAAGAAGCTTCTTGGAGAGACGAGAACCTGTCCAGAGAACCTAACTTTTTTAAACTAAATTAAAATGTTTGCTACAATATTAAATGAAAACTCTTTGATAAATTTTATATCTTAAGACAAAGACACTTGTCTGAACAGCTGTCCAGTCTAGCCAGGACACAAACCTCTGTCCTTTCCTCCACACTATCCTCTCTGACTGAGGTCACCGCTGACTGCTGATGACCATTAGACAGAACATCACCTAAATGACGGACCTTCAGCTCTACCAAAGAGGTGGCCCAGTATGATGTCAATATTACACAGGAATGATAGGGTATTCACGGGTCAGTCTCATAATTAGATTTTCAATTTAAGTAAGAGAAAGAAGCATCTCAGGCTTTGTGGGAAACTGCTTTTAAAGAGTCTCAGAAAATGGCTTCACAGAAAGCTGTCACCATGGTGAAGCTGTTTGTTTCAGGATTGAGTTAGTCGGTCTAACTGCTGCTGAGGCTGCAGGTGATTTTCAAACACACCCTATCAGTTCAGTGTAATACAAGCTGAAAGCAAAGCAGCTTTAATTGTTCATTCATTAAGTTACACAACATATTTAGTCAGATATAATTGCACATATATTGTATGTCTGACAGGAAATTCATTTTCATGGTCTGTGTTTTTATGTTTTGGTTTAAGTTTTCATTGTTTTGTGTGTTCTCTGCCCAGCTGCCCCGCCCACACTCACCTGTTTCCCCTTGTGTCTTCCCCAGGTGTATCTCGTTATCCTCATTAGTTTGCCTTTATATTCTGTGTTCTGTGTTCAGTCTGCGTCCGATCATTGTGCTGTGTGTCTCATGTTTTTTTGCCATGCCACGTCCTGTGAGTATTTTGAGCTGCCTCGTCATCATTTTTGTTTTTAAAAAGACCTCTTGTTTTTGCACTCGAACTCTGCCTGTGCCCTGGGTCAATCCTGCGCTTTAAAGGGATCCATGATTAGTTGTAACATTAGACTTTATTT